CTCTCTCTCTCTCTCTCTCTCACACACACACACACACACACACACACACACAAACAAGCAAACAAAAAAACTAACTTCCCCCCTTTTTCTTTTCGGAGGCCCCGTGCGGCCTCAAATTTTTGTTAATATTTTTTTGTGGTTTATGACGCGACATCCCACTCAGGTCTAAAACACCCCTCCCCAACTTTTTTTTTTTTCTTCTCGACCCCTTATTTTTGGGGTGCGCCGCACCCAGTGCGCGCGCGTCGTGCGCTGTGCGCAGTGCGGCATGTGTGTGCGGTGCAGCGCACGTCGATGCGCCGCAAGTTTGATCTGAGTCCTTTCCAAGGTCCAATACAGTGATGATGAGGACGCGTCTGTTGAACGGTTGCTTTCCTCTCATTACTTCCAGATATAGAAACGACAGAGCTGATAGTTGTGTTTCCTTGGTGCTTTTTCTTGAAAAAAAAAAAAATGGAGAAAGAGAACGTCCGTGAAAAGTTGAAAAATTCCACCCCCCCCCACAAAAAAAAAAAAAAAAGTTGAAAAACTTGAAAACCAAGAACGTGCCAATATACAGTCGCTATACACATGCACAAAAGACAAAAAATGTGGTGGTGTATCTTTCCATGTTCTAGTGAAAGATTCATTCTGATTTTGCACAAATTGGAGAGTAGTCAAGAGAGGCCCTATTACAACTTACCTGCCACCGGAGTCCGTAGGGCCATGCTCAACTACACATGTCCGTTAAAGTGTCTCTGTCACATCAGGACTGCAAGTAATTTTCAAGTCCGCTTGTAGGGTGGTGCGATGCGAGGGCCTCGCTTTACTACTCATGCACAAAAGACGAAAAATATGACGGTGTATCCTTCCATGTTCTGGCGTAAGATTCATTCTCATTTTGCACATTTGGTGAGTCGTGGAGCAAGGTCCCAAGCTACTGTTGTATGGCCCTCGCTCCACCACTCTCCAAATGTGCAAAATGAGAATGAATCTTCCGCTAGAACCGCTATCAGTAAACAGGCTGTAACGGTTTCCCAAATAAAAAACAAAAGGGGCTTGTCGGGCCAAACAAAACGCCCTCCATCAAAAATCCATAGTGTCTGTTGATACAGGCGTTTTGTTCGGTCCGGTAGTGTCAGGAAAAGGGTGCTGTGGCACACCAGAAAAAACACCTGTATGAACGGTACACACACACACACACACACACACGGTCTTGCTAGCTCTCTGTCTTGGCAGATTTGAGCGGCTAGGATCGGGCTCATACTAGCGATCTATTCTCTCTTTTTGTGGTTGGATATGTCTTGTTTGCTTTGTTGGTTATACAGGGCCTAATTCTTTGCCCTGCTTTAGAGCATGGGCTGTTTGGATGTTTATGAGTGGCCACAAGTTCTCGTTGAGGGAAATGTATGTTTTGTGGGCCGGCGTGGAAGCCTTTCCCAGTTTTTTCGGACCCTTAGCAGGGGGGGTTGGTGCGTTCTTGCTGGACGAGTCTTCTGTCTTAGGTGTCTCTTATCTTCTTCCTCCTCTTCGGCAGTGATGCGAGTGTGTAGTTTGAGATGAATGTCGGGAATGCCAATGCTGTTATATTTGATTGTTTTTGGTAAACGAGTTTTTGGTTTTGTGGACCGATGCGGAAGGCTCTCCAAGTTTTTTCAGACCTTTAAGGGGGTCGGGTCAGTGCCTTCTTGCTGGAGTAGTCTTCGGTCGTAGGTAAGTTGCCTTCTGCCCACCTTCCCCTTATGGTTTGAAATATATATGTACACATATGTATATGTGCAAGTGTGCCGCTTTGGCGGCAGACGGGTGTGTGGGCACTTGACGCTGAACAACACAAACATGGCCAACCTTGCATTTTATATTATATTGCCTATCTTTCGTTATGGATGGCTTGTGATGATTTGTGAAGGGAATGAAAGAGAGAATCTGGGGTCTTTTAAAACAAAACACACACACACACACACAAAAGAAGGGCATATCCGCAGGTGCGCGCCCATCGGGCATACTCCAGCACACTGCTCGTGCACGATCAGTGGGCGCAGTGCGCACATGCGCACACATCCCCCTTCAGCGTGTGGCACACGGCGCACCGCTTAAGTGCACCGCAAGTATGATTGGTTCCTTACTCAATGCTGATCTTTGGCCAAACGGAAGGAAGTGTGTGTGTGTGCGTCCATTTGATGCATTTCTGAGACCTGCAGGGGTAAAAGTAACCGGATTGATGCTCCCCAGAACAGATGTGGATCTAGGACCATAAGGGCCTGCCTTTGTTTTTTTGTAAGTAATTTTACAATTTTTACGTAACTTACTAGTGGAAAGGGATTGGGCTGCCACTCGCAGAATAGAAAGGAACCAGTGGAAATGATGGTGTGTGTGCCCGCTGTTGACCCTGCTGTTCTCGAACCGTCTGTTTCAAACTCTCGCTCAATTACTCCCTTTCAAGTGTTCTTCTTGCTGCCAGTGTGGTCTACTTTCTCAGCTCTCTTGCTACCTGGCTGTGCTATTTTGACTTGTTCTGGGAGAAAACTGATCTCATCAAGGATTAGCTTTTAGACCCGCAGTTTTCTTCTTCCCAAGGGATTTCTTCCAGTCTTACTCTTCTGGGTGACCTTTCCGAGCTTTGAAGCTCCTGAGTTTGGCTGATCCACTCCTTGACGTGTACATGGGTGTCTTTGATTGTTGCTAAGGCACTGACTGAAAAGACAAGAAAAGTAAAGAAGTTCATGGTCACGTTTTCTCCGCTTTCCTCCCCTGCGCTCTAGATTTGCTCTTTTCAAGAATATGTCTGTCTTTGCACTCTCTTCCTGCTTTCTGGATCCTGGTCCTCACAGGATTGTCCTTGTAACACACCGGATGACGTGATGCATGCCTGTTGTTTTCTCCTGCGAATTGAATGCAAATTGTTTCAATTGACAGAGGCCACAGCAGAAGTGTACAATGCCACGACCAGTGGTTTCTTGGCAAAACAGGGTGAGAATTTAACGATTTATGGGACAAAGTTTGGAGCAAACACCAGGTTAAGAGATGTTAAGGTCATCATTGGCCTTAATGAATCACGAGGAGTGTGCAATGCAATTGTTGCTAGTGAGGATTACATTGCGTGTCGTCTTCCAGACCTTCGAGTAGGGAAATATCCAGTCTCTGTTGGCTTCAACGACCGAGGTTTGGCAAAGATGCCCAGCGGAGGGATCAGTGTTTCCTATGGTCTGGTAGTGACATTCATCTCAACGAACCGTGGATCACTTGGTGGTGGCACAAATGTCACTATTTACGGGTCGGGGTTCTCTTCAGATATAAATGAGAACGAGGTGAGGTTGGGAGAAGCGCGGGCTACGCTTAAGTCAGCCAGTGGCTCACAGCTTGAAGTTAGCACCGGTCAGAGTCCATCGGTGGATGGCATCACCGTCAGGGTGATAGTGATCGTTTCTGATACTAGCGGACCCTCAAGGGTGTCTATAGGCGAAGCCACCTGTGATAGCTGTAGTTTTGAATACCAGCCAGCACTTACTCCTAGGTTAACTGGCATAACACCTCAAACTTTTGAACCGTGGCGTGTGGGATTTCTCACCTTGTCTGGAGACAATTTTCTCCCCTCAGGTGTCAGTGCGCAGGCACTGACTGTCAGGATTGGTGAGTCGACATGTGATGAGGTAAAGCAAGTAACAAGCACATCACTTCAATGCCAAGCTCCTGGCATGATGCCAGGGAGATATCCTGTGAGGTTATCAATCAATGACATTGGGTACGCTTTTCACACAGCCTTTTTGACGGTGCCATTGCTTCTTGACAACACACCAAGTGCCGTCCAGCCACGGAGTGGAAGCATTGGTGGAGGAACCAACATCACGTTCTCAGGCTTTGGTTTCAGCATCAACGCCGCTGACCATTTGGTCACAATTGCCGGTGTTCCATGCATTGTGATGTTCAGCTCTCGAGATCGCTTGACATGCCAAACACAAGCTCTTCGAGGGGCAGCAGGGACATTTCCAATCAAGGTATGGAGAAAACTACTCATTGCCATAGGCTCTACCATGTTCTTTACAAAATAATGAAGAATGTAAGCGCATAAAATGCAAGGAACCATGCAATGAGAATACAAATATTCCACCACGCAAAAATCTCATAGCAGACCAAACATGATTGGACCAAGTCAAGAGCAGAAAAGCAGAGCGGAATTCACATCTATCAGAAGCAAACAGAACTCTGAAGTCTCTTGATAAAGAAAGCCTGGCTTCTGCCTCCAATCAGCAATGCAACAACAGTGTACTAGCCCTACTGTGGTACGACCAACCTAATCTACTTCCTACTACCTCTTCTCATGCTAGCCTCGACCACCTCACTCTCTGCCCACGTGTCACTGGCCCAATGCTGCTTGAAGACTCTGCTCAAACATACTTCCTCCGCCAACACCAGGTAAGAACCATGAGTCCTCATGGCGCTTCTTCTTCCTGACCTCCCACACTCCACCACTCTGTTACATGCTGAGCCTGCACATGGGCCCCTTTCGGGGCCCCAACGGTTGCTGGGGGCCCACAGGTCGCACAACACTCAGACATGTGCCCTGGAGGCCCACGGCCGACCTGAAGGCTGCAGGACTCGATTTGAGGCAGCATTCATTTATTTATTTGACAAATTATTTCTTTATTTATTTGCTGTCCTATTTTTGTCTGTTCAGGCGTCATTTTGGACTTGCAGTTAGTCCGAACAGACTTTCGGTATGTTCGGACCAAGGCCACGTTTTGGGCCTTCTTCATTTGCAGTCAGGCCCTTTCGGGCCAGTAGCGGACACTCCCTGGTGCATCAGCAAGGACGGCCTGGACGTCTGGTAGGGACCGAGGCAGGCCGTTTCAGGCCACGGAGCAGAGGCACACCAGCGAGGCCCAGCGCTACTTATAGCTGGGCCAGGCCACGGCAGACACACAGTTCGAGTAGCTCACTTCTTGGGTGACACGCTGCTGGAGCAGCGCGAAACGGCGCTGCGCTAGAGGTAGAGGAGTAGGTAGAGATAGAGATAGATAGAGATAGATAGATAGATAGATAGATAGATAGATAGATAGATAGATAGATAGAGA